GCTGATGAAATTATACAAACATATATTTTTACATTTATAATTTTATGTACAATTTGAACATATGGTAAACTGATGACTTTGATGTAAATTACAAAATACATGACAACACACTATGCAACAGATGATGAAGATGGCAAATAAACTATGAGAATGAAAATGAAACTTGGTGACAGTGATGGTGATGAAAATGATGATGATGATAATAATAAACAAAACAACGATGGTATGATACAATACCAACAGCGACAATAACATGACAATGACATAACATAAAATTTAATGGCAAGATGCTACTAAGAGTGTCACGGAAGGAAACAAATCTAAAGTAAATACACCAAATTTCTTTGAAATGAGCAAGAATTACATTCTTTTAATTTAAATAATTCATAAATAAGTCATGTGGTAGTATCACTGGAAAAAACACTAACATTCACATTTCATTCAAGACTTTGGTGCTTTCTTCATTATTAATAGAAAGGGCTAGCAAAACAGGGAATTTGCTGAGCAATTAAACTTGTTTGTTGCAGCCATCTTCAAGCATTCAATATCTTGCTTGTAAGATATCCATCTCGGTTATAAGTAGTCTTGAGTGATATGTGCAGCATCTTTCAAAATGTCTGCACACTATTAATTTGACACTAAACACACACACACACAATGCTCAAGGTTTAACAAAAACACAAGGCATCCACATTCTTGCTTTCATCACAGTGGTAAAAATGGCACATGGGTCATACCATGTGTCATTAGGGACACAGAAGGAAAATTAATTGTCTTTTTCCAACCATTGATTTGGGAAAGACGCAAAAAAATCACTTTGCATCTTCCTAGTTAAATGAGTTTTTCTCTTGGATTAAGACACTAGTCGCATTGACTCAGCTTCACTTGCTCATCGCAGGTTCCACCGGTGTGCTGCTGCCACTGCACATACACTCAACAGTAGGAGCCAGCTGTGTGCGTGCGTGCCGCCTGATCTCCTTATTGCACTATTGTATGTAAGTTCTTCATTCTTGACTACCTCATTTGGATGCTTTTCATACTCATCTGAAAATACCATAGCAATATTAAAATTAGCTCATTGGCACATAAGAAGTTTTTAAGTTACAGACAGCCAAATTTAGTTTGGTTAGAAAATAATTTTACTTACTTGTTTTCTTTGTTGTTGACTTAACATTGTAGCTAGTTAAGTCTATGTCTTTATAAGATGTAGGCCTCGCTGTAGGTAGCTCCACCCGTGGTGTGGGTGAATAGGTTGGTACAAACGTGGGCAGAGGTCGAGGTGTTGGAGGACTACTCAGAGAGGTAGTGGGCACACGGTTGACCACAGCTGTAGAAAAAAGGAAAACAAAAAAAATCTTATTTAGCATCATCCAAAACATTATCTCAATAGAACACGAGGAGAGACAAAGAACTTACTTTGATTGTGCATCTCATCTGGTCTACAACAGACTTTGAAAACCACCTTCATATTGTGTGTAGTACACCGACCTCCAATCCGACGATGCAAGTCATCTTTTGATGATGTGGCTAAAAAGAAGAAGAACGTGTGAAAACAGTGAAAACGTCAAGAAACCAATACAATTAAAAGAAACATTTACTCAATACTTACAGATAAAATAATAATCCTCTCCTGGTTGAAATTCTAAGCCACCAGGCTGAGGGGTAAATGAACGGAAAGTAATAGTAAAATACATTAATTTGTGAGGTTGATTGCACACTGCAATTATTTTAGGATTTGGGTTGGTAATCCGACAAGTATCATATTCCTCCTTAGAAACCTGATGTGAGAAAAAAAATCATTCTGTTAGAGACGGTTCACTAAATGTATATGAACAGAAATGGTCCTCTTTCCTGATAGAATACTTACATTATAAATAATATATTTTTCTGCATTCTCCTCATCGGTGCCCGGCACGTACACGGGACAGATTATATTTACTTGATCATATTCAAAGGCGATGTTCCCTTTGTTTACATCAATTATATGATCTGTATTATCTATCCGGAATCTGAAACAGACAAAGAGAAAAGCCACGAATTAACACTTGGCAAAAAGGGAAAAGGGGGGGGGGGTGTCTTCTTGTTCGTCACACTATAGGGAAGGCCTGATAGGCGAGGGGTGGGGGAGGGCGCCCACCTCCTCCGCCTCAAGCGCAGGGCGCCCCTGGGCTGCGCCCCTGGGCGCTCCTTGCAGCGGGTAATCTGTCGGCGGTAATGGCCCGTTTTGTCATCCACACAAGAGTCGGGCCAGGTGTGACCGCAGGTGATTGAGTCATCCGTCAGCCCTGGCCCGGGCCCTCGGGTGTGTGCGCTATCTGACACGGAAAGCCTTTTACCGCAGCCAGACACACATAAATACCGAATATGTAAGCCGCCGACAGCAGCGGAGGCAGCGGGCGGCGGCCGGAGACCACGGGGAGGACCCGTCCGGCCAGCCGCACCGCATTCTCGCGTGTCATTTACTTGGGGGAGCGGGCGCGGGTCGCCGGCGCGGTAGGCAACCCATCCGGCGCGGTGACGCAAGGCTTTTGCCGTGAGCAGCTCACGGCTCGTTTATTACCGACAAACTCGGGCCGTGTTCCCTC